CGGTCACATGGGGTCTCACGATATACAAGCACACCATGACATTGTAGCTGTGCTGACATGAGGTGTCCACGGTCACGTGGGGTCTCACTATATACAAACATACCATGACATAGTCGCCGTGCTGACACGAGGTGTCCACGGTCACGTGGGGTCTCACTATGTACCACACACACCATGATATTGACGCCGTGCTGACATAAGGTGTCCACGGTCACGTGGGGTCTCACTATATACAAACACACCATGACATTGACGCCGTACTGACATGAGGTGTCCACGGTCACATGGGGTCTCACTATGTACCACACACACCATGATATTGACGCCGTGCTGACATAAGGTGTCCACGGTGACGTGGGGTCTCACTATATACAAACACACCACCATGACATTGACGCCGTGCTGATATGAGGTGTCCACGGTCACCGTCGGGTCTCACTATAGCTCATCTAAAGTACAGGATACCGTGTAAAATCATCGTGTATTTTCTTCAGTAGCTAAAATCACAAGCAATAACAATGTGACATATTTGGGAAGGATAGCCATTCTAGACCCGAAATAGAATACCGGCATGATAAGATAATTTTGGACACTGAGGAAATCTGGTACTCATCAGTTGCAACCAAAGCGCGCGTTTGACGAAATATTTGCATATGCAAATTACATTACGTTCGATGTATATCAAATACGTTAGACTCCCTTATTTTCAGCAGGTGTATTCACACTCCGTCTGTAACTGCCATTCCACATTTTACTGTGTTTACACGGACGCCTCCTAATCTTAACGGATTTAATCACTTTGTGTAAATTTTCAAACCCCCAGAATCATGGAAACAGATTTTGTCCCAGTGAAGGTATTTAGTAAACTATGGCAAGAGAACGCAAGTTCAATGATTCAAACTTAGGTTGTTGTCAAATGCTATTGTTATGCAATAAGATAAACATTGGAATAGCATTCAAGCTTGATGGAGATGACGAGCATTTCTATTTATAGAACGTCGTAAGGTAGACCAGAGACTAAAGTAGACTGTTGTGTTAAACGTCACTACGTCAAGACAATTACACAAGTCCTGTACACCTGCTGAACTGGTTCTAAACTGTCTTTGACATAAAGAAATATTCATGAGCTTCTGAAAGCCTGTCCGTCCATCCCAGAACAGTGCCTGAACGGCAAATACGTCCACGACCTTCGTCTAATTGCTTTGTCTTGTAACATTTTGATGGTTGCTCAAAAATGTAACATTCCGTTGTGTTGCCAGACGGCGCTCGATTAGCAAAAGTACCGTGATGAAAACATACAAGTTATTGTCAGACCATCTCTGGTGATCCTGAATGAAAACCAGACCGATGCGTTCCATGTTATCTTGTTCGCACTAAAGCGTCAACTCGTCATATGTGTACGTATTTTGACTGTTCTTTTCCGGACATAACAGAATTTGGCGAAATTTTGAAATGGAAATGGCACTCTACATTTTAAATAACATTTTATCTGTGCTTAGTTAATTTTTATCAGCAAATTTCTGCTATCTAATGTTTCTAGAAATCCGTATACGTTTATCAACAAAATTTATACTCGCAATATAAAGTTCTCACACTTATGTCATAATGTTAAACATTGACTTTCGTGTTACCTGAACAATATTGAATAGGTCTTCATCGGAAGTTCTCATCGAATTTGTTTTTAAAAAGTTGATCTTAATCCGTCATTAAACAAAGTGTTTTAATGCGTTTTCAGCTCCTTGTCTCTTCCTGATTGTAATCGATAGTCATTATCTAATACTGACCCAGCTATACAGTGACTACTTTAAACTCATGAAACCTTTTTCCTAAATTCGGGTAAGTCAAGTATACGAAGTATTCACTCTAGATTGTCGCCCTTCAAGTTGTTTACATCGTCCAGGACGTTTGATTTGTAAGAATCTCGCATCTCCCAAATATTGAATGTATTTATTAAATATGCTGAAATGATGTATGCTTATCTGTGGCAGATTCTTTCGGTTCAGTTCCGTTTTCAAAATGTCTTATTTGACTCTTTTTTCTCTCTCGTCTTTTGCGACCACTGTTTTACATCATCATCATCATCATCATCATCATCTTCTGGTGTCATGACCGGTCTGTTGACGTCCTCTCTTTATGATTTAGGCTGCAACGTCTGTGAATATGGTATTTTTCATCGTCGACTCGGTCCTAATCGTGAAATTCCTATGTTGTAATGAGAACGAAAACTTACTTTACTTACCCGTCATGTTTGATGGACGCATATTATTGTAAGCGTTACTAACCTCGAGGCCTTCAGTTTTTAACCTTTGTAAAAAATGGAATGAAGCCGAGAATATTTTTAAAAAGTAATTACTTTAGTGAATATACATCCCTTTTGCAGTGAGTTTTTGGAATATTATAACCGCCAAAAATGAAACCATCACAGTTTTTGTCATTAATGTGGACTATTACAAATTAGGTGTCAAATCTTCTGCGTCAAGACTGTAACATTTACTATTAAAGCACCTTAAATTGCGTCCCTTAATAGGTGCAGCTGAAATATTCCTTGTCCATTAAATTGTTATTTCATTCGTTTGATAAAGATTTATTTTTTTTTACATTCCATTATGAGTTGCTAAATGACTTACTGGAGCAGTATCTCTCTTAATACTGGCTATCAAGGGAACGCTCTGATATCAACATTGATATCTGTTGTGACATGTACGTTTTAATTCCAAAAAAAACTTTAATCAACATGGATATAATCCATCCCAGAAAGAACGTATCAACTGGCATTAAAACCAACGGGATGAAACAGGAAATAGTGACATGATGGCAGATAAGGTTTTAACACGTCATGTCAGCGACCGTTTGAATCAGGTATTCTCTATTGAAGTCATGTAGTGATATATAGAGTCTAGGTATTTTTGAGATAGACTTTAAAGTGTAAAACCGTTTTAGAGTCTACATGGTGAGATTACAAACAATGAATTAATCACTTCCTCTCCACAGGAAATTCCTGAGAGAATTACATTTGAAAATCGTCCATTCATTATTCTCTAGTTCTCTGGTAATATTTATTGATATTTCATGCAAGTGATCTATGGAACATGAAAGGTACATTGCAGGTAAATGAGTCTCAAATTCCCCGCTAAAATTTCGACTATAGAAGATAGCACTGTCAGATGGTTATCTAAAACACAGTAATGTTTTTAACAGGAGGACGGATTTAGCCACTGAATGTTGCCAATCCGAACCCTCACTTTTCCCGCGCCAAGCTATCAAGACACGTAATTTGTTGAATAGAAGTTCTTATAACACAAACAGGAGAAGATTATTTGTGACGTTTCGCTGACAACACGGTCACAAATGACCAGTGTGAAGCGTACGTGCAGTGCACGTAGTTAACGAGATGGTAGGGAAATGGTCGACTTTTCCGGGTCTACTATAATCCTATACACACTTAGGCAGAGAAACGTGTGACGAAACGATTAAAAAAACATGAAAAAAATACGAGATGGTAACTAAGTATCGTAGTCGATTCGATCTAATGTGTACTTAAAGTAAAAATACGAGAAAAACATCTCCTTCTGTTGGTTAAAAACGATTATGTTTAATCACATGTAAAGAAATGAGACTCAAAATAAATACTGTTTTGAATGGTATGTGTGTGTTATACCAACTCATTCAAAACCAGTGTCCAGCAATAACGGACGCCTCTGTTCCCTTTATCGCCAGACTTCTAATGGTTTCTCCTTAAAGTGTCCGATCCTGTGAAAATTAGTAGAATTTATAATAGGTGTCCGATCCTGTGAAAATTAGTAGAATTTATAATAGGTGTCCGATCCTGTGAAAATTAGTAGAATTTATAATAGGTGTCCGATCCTGTGAAAATTAGTAGAATTTATAATAGGTGTCCGATCCTGTGAAAATTAGTAGAATTTATAATAGGTGTCCGATCCTGTGAAAATTAGTAGAATTCATTATCGATGAGTACATTTTCCATTTTATAATTTTGAAACTGTAAAATCCTATATTTACATGGGATCAAATTCCGTGTATTTTTTTTTCAAAAATACTATGTCGAATATGAGATATAGCTGTAAAAATGTTAGTTATACTGATTAATATTTCGTTGACATGGATGCGTTGATCACTAACGAGTTAAAGTGTACCAAAGAAATCAAGTAAAATAAATCCCCTACGAAAATTTAACATTTTACAGTGATTTAATTCACTCAACGTTCAATGTAATCAACATGTGTTAGACGCTCAATTAGGCTAGGTAAATCATTTACAATCAGTTACACAGGGTAAAATGTAAAGCATATTTATCGACTACTAAATTTAAAACTAAAATCACATATTAAGAAAATGTGTTACAAAGGTTCGTGAGTTAATGCCAAACGCTAAAAATCCAATTTGAGAATAGGTTTTCACACATACATTATTAAGATTCTAAATCAAGTGTAATAAAGCATACGTGATCAGCTCTCGCTGATTCTGAAATTATTTTTTTAAAGTAATTGTAAAAGCACTTTTTTGGTAATTAAATGTAATGAATTTGCTGATGGCGTGGCTAAGGATATTGTTCTACACGCAACAACACTGGACTTCCTTAATACCTAATCCAATCAATTACCGATCATTTCTTGGTGAGATAAATCTACCGATATCCTCCCATCAGCTTGGATGGTAGTTTGTGTCACCACACTGATAGTCGGAGTCACGCAACACACCCGACACGTGCACAAGTTTAATTTACGCTTGTGATCAACGTATCATGTGAATATCCAGGCATTAAAAGCGTCGGACTTTCTCAAATGTAGCAACTAAATTAAACATTGAATATTCAATCAATTGCACGGCAGTTATATTGCTGATGATGGTGATGGCGACGATGGCAATGAAGACAAGGACGACAACGATGATGATGTGATATAGAGAGCAACGGCGATGATGATGATGATGGTGGCGATCACTTTGCAAATGAATTCCTGAATACTTTTTTCGATGGTAGGTCAGTCATATCTCATTGTAAAACTGTTTCTCTCGACCGTCCTGATATTATGGCGTCTACGACGTTGATCACGATCTAACCTCAACATTTTACGGAACTTCCGGCGGAAGTTAATATTGCACAGTGGATAAAGTACTGGATTTAACGTTGAGTTTAGATAGCCAATCCATGTCATTGCTGTCATTAGATCCGGGTGTATACAATCAGGACAAAATGCTATCACTAGGAATAAAATGAAATATGGTAGAAAGCACAAGGTAAACGCTCCCATTATCACTCCGAGTTGTCTTGCAGCCTTGATTTCTTTTTTTAAGGAACTTTGGCGAATATTCTTTATTCTATGTTTGATATTTAGCGTAGTCGACATACGACGGTTCGAATCTTCGTCGAACATAATTGCTGTTCCGCCTCTCGCTCGGCCGTTAGAGGAGTTCCGGATGTGCGTCACGCCATTTCCGTCACGCGTCACGGACACTGTATGGTCGATGATATGTTCGGTTTGCCGCATCTGTCGTAAGCCACTTACTAAACTGTAGTTTTGACGATCTTTTTTACTTTTGTAGCCCAATGTTCGCCTTTCCTCACTACTGGAACTTACAGGAGTTCCCCCTGAAGAAATGGAAGGCTCGTTACATATAATGGGAGGACTTATGAGAATCTCTCTGACAGGTTTTGTACTCATAGGTATATGTTCCTGGTAGAAAAACCGTTCCACTTTTTCCGTCTTTGGATCTAAGACATTCTCGTCATAAATATATTCTACCTTACATTTTGGATTAAAAGGTTTTTCCTCGAGGCAGCGTCTCTTGTAATGTTTTCGTTTAGATTTTGACGGTTTTGATTTCTTATTCTTTTTAGATTTTTTCGAACCTACAACATTGCACGGTGTGAGTTTGATTGAAGAATAATTACTGGAATCTGTTTTTATGGAATGGTTTTCATCCGAATATGAGTCTATTCTACCGTCGCTGCTGTTGTCTATAGTTGGTGAATCCGCGTTGTATTGCATATTTTCAGCTACTATCGGCCTGGCATACCTCTGACCAAGTTCCAAGGCCGATCGCTTTCTTATTTCGTGAAACACTTTTCCGTATAGGCTATACATTATTGCAAGTGGAAGATAAAAATTGAAAAATGCTGTTATAACCTTAAATACAGAATCATGGGCGTATTCCGTATCGCACACGTTGGACTGAACACGCCTTATTCCATCGTTTGCTATATGATGCCATGACACAATCGGGATAATCCATAGACTAGATACAAGCCATACTATTGATATCATCCTTAACGCCCTCTGTTTCGTCCGCTTCCTCAGATATTTTAAAGGGGAGGTAACTGACCAGTAACGGTCCACACTGAGAATGAAGAGATTCAAGATGGAGGCAGTACTGGCTGTGTAATCAATGACTATCCAGATCTGACAGACGGCCACCCCAAACAGCCATTCCTCCGTGAAGATATAGATGGCGCTGACAGGCATGACAAAAATACCCACGATCAAGTCGGCAACCGCTAGACTCACGATGTACATGTTGCTTACCTGCAAACAAAATGGCAGATTTTAGAAAACAAGTTAACATCCGCTAACGAGAAAGTAAATCTACATGACAACACAGTGATTTCAAATCTAGGATCGTTGATTTCATTTTAAATGGGATTTTATTTCTATTTTTGCAGGCCATGATTAAAATTTTAGGTTCTTGAAAGACAAGAAAATATATTTTAAATACTTTTAATCACATAACAAGAAAAAAGTACATTTTGATATGCTGTAGAGTGAAAATATGAAGGACAAAATCAAACGGAGTCATTTCGTTGAGTCGTTTTGTAATCAAGATATCACAATAGATTTATAACTGGCGACGCGAAAAAAAAAAAAAAAACCGCTGCAGGGTATATTACATCTATGACATATATTCAAGATAACAGGTGGAATATTTGATAAACAACAATTAAACTGTCATGAATATTGTTGAGTCTGAATCATAATTGGTTGTAGGCGTCAGATAAATTTCTGCAGTGTCTGCTTATTATTTTTTCTTCATTTTACTACTCACTGAAAGGGTAAGAAACTGCCACATACAGGGCAATTATTGTATTCCCGAGTTAATAGACTTTCTCTGTTGATCTTTCATGTATAAATACCATCAGCAGAGAAAGTGAACACATTTTCTCGACAAAAGAAACCCGCGCTGTTGACAGTTAAAACCTTCGAGGGCAAATGGTATATAGAAGATATTTAATGGTTTCATGTCTATTAGCAAACTACGGCATCATGTCAGTATAGATTTAACAAAGTTACTGTAGAATTATTAGTATTCGTGGGGGATTTATTTTCTTTGATGTTTTATGGTACTTTACTTTCACTAATTTATACGTCCACGAATGGTTAAAATAAGTTCAAGTAGATTTATTGAACTGTATTTATCCATGAAATAAAGTGTCTAGAAAATGGTAATGTTTTGAAAAACCACGAAAATTGAGCCCGATGAAAATAGATGATTTATAACAGTAGAGTATAGCCATGTAATTAACTGAGTATTGCAAGCCATGCAAATATGTTGAGTTTGTCTTCTATGTAAACTGTAAACAAAATCACCGTCAATTCTTAAGACAATAACAAAATACCTGTAGAAGATATCAAAACACTCAACCTATTTCAAAGGATAAAAGACACTCATAGGGCCGGCAACTGCACTTGTAAAAAAGTGATTTCAGCTGGAACGCGTGACAAATAGCGCTACCTAACCTGATGAAAATGGTTTGAAGCATTGACCTGTTTATAAAGGATGTTAGTAAAACGTTGAACTTTATAATAATAGGATGTCTGAGATATATTAATTTCCTAAAATATCCTTAAACTTATACATCAAATAATGAATATAACAATGGGCTCCTTGTTGTAAATATGTAGTATCATGTAATAACTTACTTTTCGCAATGCTTATCCTACTGCAACAATAAATAGCACATTTTCTGATTAAAAAATATAAAATTACTCACTTTTCTATTTTTTCATTTGTCTTTCTGTCACTTTTATGTCACTTTCTTTATGTATGTCTGTACAACCTTAACTAAATTAACTTTGCGCGTGTAAAGTTCAATGTTCTCGACCTAGTTCCTTAATTAGACCAGAGTGAACGTATCGCTAAAAGTACATCACTTGATAGATACGATCGCTTCCTTCCATAACCATCTATTTTGATTTCAACATGATTATGTCAATGGCCCAGTACTGCTCGTTTGAATACTTAACTCTTATTTGTAGGATTCGGCGCCACACTAAAATGGCTAGATAGATTATTAAATACTATGAACGAAAAATCTCCCGTTTCCTTACGAATAGACCTGCGTCGATTCTTGTCATTAAGCACTAGTGCACTTTAGTGCTTGTAATCAATGTAATCCTGAACAAACATATTCCAGTCGTTTTAAAAGATAGATATAATGATATTTAAAAAAACGACATTACAAGGATTCAAAATATTGATTGAAAACAAAACCCACCCTCACCGACTCCCCTCTTAACAAGAAGGGAGCGATTTTCTATACAATCTTCACTATTCCTTGAGGCAATCGAAACGATACCAGATACCAAATCTTTGTTATAATTTGTTGAGAATCCATGAAAAAAAATCCATCAATTATTCATTGGAATGTGGATTTCGAGAAACGTGACTTGTGTTGAGAATTATGCCGTATATTGGGTGAAATGAGAACGTGGTGTATTGAATTCAGGCTGGATCGAATCCATGCAATCTATGCTATAATTAGCACTAGCGGCAAGCCAACCAACCAACCAGCCAACAAGCCAGCCACGCCATACTACCTATCATACGAAAATGAATGTTACATTTAATCATCTGTTGTCAAGGATAGTACATACGCTCTACACATCTTACAACTCCTTTGATATAATTTTCCCATTCACCATCTTCTAATTTCGTCATCGTTCTACTCCCTATCAGAAACAAGTACTGACAATCTTCATCCAACGAATTCAATTTAACGTAATCCCAAACCTTTAACATATTTACAAGTATGTCAACAAGTTTGTCCCCAACGCCGAAATAAAACTAGACACAGAAAAAGTTGATGTTTCGCATTATTCCAATAATTCAATAGATTTCGAATTTGTTTTATAATCTTATAAATTCAGGCGAACGTTAGGAAGACATGTCACATGTGTATATTTTGACCTTTGCCGCTGTTCGCCTGAATTAAAATGTGGTATGCAGGCTGAGAAAGAAAAATCTACAAGGAGTGTCTTTGTACAAGAGATACACAAATGATTATCACTTTTCCTGAGCTCCTTCCTCTAACCCATTCCTTCTGATCTCTTCTTTGATATTAACTACAATGCTATTTTTTTGTTTTAAATGTTTCTTTATTGTTAGATATGAACAATCTCCTTTGTTACATCATGTATTGCAACGGTTAGTAATCTAGACTCTGACGTCTGCGATTCTCGATTTGTTTACAAGTAAGTTGGGATAGGCAATTCCCTACTTACTTTGATCCCATTTACTCTACACACCCTAAGCATTGAAAATAGTCATAAAAATTGATTACATGTATTCAAAATTAATCTATCTTAACATAAAAGAAAAGACTAAAAACGTTTTGTTGTAACGGCGTGTGACAACAGTCACTTCATTAAGTACCAGCTAAAATTTTCTTTCGTTCCATCACGCTTTTCATAGAAGATCTAATATGTCAAACGGAGACAAGAAAGCAGAGAAAACGTATTGTCAGAAGAGCTAGAAAAATCTTAGTCGATCGGGATGGCACGCTGGAGACAATTTTCCAGTGTGATGTAAGGGATTTATTGTGTGAAGGAAGCCCCACCCAGTGTGTGCTTACTCTTTCTGTAGCAACCGGTGACGTCTGTCTGTTATTGGTGTAGGCTTAGTGGAGTTCTGCAGTGGACACAAGGGAAATCCGAAGGTAATCAGAACAAGCCGTGCCTATGCCTACATAATCTCCCCGAGGGGACCAATCGAGAAAAAACGGCTCACACTTGTCCAAGTTTTAATACATTTCAAGGGTATGCCGAGAATGAAAAAACCCCAAACAATACTCTTAAGAAGGGAAATGTAAAACTAAGGTTTCCTATATGTTATTGTAAGACTTAACAATATTCTGGGTATAATATCGCCTCCATCCGTAGTTTTAAAAGCTCACCTCACACAAACAATGAAAACACGTGTTAAACCTATTGATTTTACCGCCATGTTGATATTTACTTCATGATTAATTTTAATACAGTGCAGTCTAAAGAAACTGACAATAGAAATTTAATTGTTGAAAAGAGAAAGTTTGAATGAATAAACAATTTTTCTTTCTTCAAAAGATCATCATTATATTTTTGCGTTCTTGATATGTCAGACGGTTATACCTAGATGGCGACACTCGTATCACTTTTAAACAAGTAAACCGTTTAAAAGTTTAGTATGATACAGTTCTTCGGTTGTCAAAGTCACCTTTCACTTCATTAGAACATGTGGAAATGAACTATCCAGCGCGAGATATATGTATATGTAATTAGCATATATCAACACTGTTGTGGTTTATATTCTCAAACTCGAATCAATTAGCAGTAACATGTAAACCACGGTCGCTTTATATTATCAAAAAGATAAAAATAAAAAAAAGACCTTCAACATGTTGCTGCCACTACATCACTTCATAAATTGGTTTTGTGACGTCATAACTTTTCCTATGAATGTCAAAGTCATATAGACAAGACTTCATAGAAAGAATGAGCTTGCTGAAGTTAAAAACCACAAGTGATTGAATGAGAACCCTGTCTAAAGTTCGCATAAAATGTACCTTTTGATAAGTCATTTACGAGGTATATATACACCACAAAACGTATTACATAAATTGTGTTATTACAGCTTACACAAAACCTGTGGTTAGTTGTAAGTGACAATCACTTTAACTCCTCTATACCACCTACTGAACTGTAATTTCCTGTAGGTCTCATTCCTTTATTTGTACCGCCACAAACGTATTATACATTGGACTAATGTATTACCTTATATTGACCTGCGATTTCCTGTGGGTTTCAGACCTTTATTTGTGACGTCACAACTTAAGAGAGAATCACGTTGAAAGTGGCAAACTTAGATACTGAGCTAAATGTGTGCTGATGAACATTTGTAAAACAAAACTTGTTATGGGATGATAAAAATATGTTTTCATTTCGTTTGATATTAGCAAAACAAATCCCATCCCATTAAATCTTGTGTGTACTGGTGCTCTTTGTTGCAAAAGAAACCATCAAATCTTTTATATCAAAGATCAAGCAAAGTTAGCTTAAGAAGATATGCAGAGAATTGCTGAATTGAAAACAAAATGACTGGAGTGAAACATAGTGGCGAGAAATCGTCCTGTAACAGGCAATTCTACGAGCGAACAGTACAATCAACCTATGGAGGAAAAAACAATGATTGTTTTTCTTTCTTAAAGATAAAATTAAAGAAGACATCTTCAATGATTTAGTATGAATCTGGTATTTTACGAGTGTTA